TTTTCGGGTAATAGTGAACGAGATGCAAATGTTTATGATTGTGAATTGAGGCAGTTGCACTCGTGCTGTTTGCAGTGAAGCAGAAGATCAGCTCAGAGACAAGAATGTTGGCTGCTTCCTTATCAGACTCAGCGAAAAAGCCATTGGATATATTCTTTCATACAAGTAAGAATAACCATTTTTCTTTAACTCTACCATAATAGCTCATTTGTCAACATTATTTAATGCATTAGCTAACATGCATGAACTAACAACGAGCTATATAAGAATTAATTAATCATCTTTAACATTAGGAAATAAAAATACAATTGTTCATTGTTTGTTCATGTTAGTTCACAGCTCAATAAATAATGCTAATACAATATTTTAAAATATTAAAACCTTTTGAAATGTATTAGTAGATGTTGAAATTAACAGTAACTAAGATAAATAAATTCTGTAGAAGTACTGTTATTTGTTGTTAACTCAAATTGGCAAATCAGACCTTAATGTAAAGCATTACCAAATTTAGTCATTTTAAGCAGATCCTATATTATGTTAAAACCCCTACAATGTAGAGGGAAAATAAACTAGCTAATGGTTCTAACCTTTAAAAAACAGTTTGAAGCTACAGTGTTTTCAGTTGTTTCATTTCTCGAATGCTTTATGCTGACAGAGGACCGGATCGTTGTCGCCATTTTGTCATAAATCAAACCAAGACTGGCCTGTTCGTCGTTTCTGGTGATTCCACCACTCATAACAGTCTCACAGCGCTGATCAATCACTTTAAAACCACACCGATCCAGCCTTTTGGAGAGTACCTGACTTCATATAACACAGATATGGACTCTGTGGAAGAGGTATCAATCATACTTTGCATTCTTTTTAAAGGTGCACTCAGTAATTATTCTTCATTAAAAAAGTCTTATATATAAAGAAATGAATAGTACTTTTAAAATCATGTTCAATCACATTAGATGATGAATCTATTTAATATAAGTAGCCTTTATTTGATCATATGAGCAGCCAAATTTCATACACTTTATCTTGGTAATCCAGATTTGCTTATGGGCAAAAAAACAAATCATGGTTAACTGAATAAATCGTTAATGGGAAGGGAAATTGTTTGAGTGTATGGCATATTGGCAAGCACAACATACTAATACAAAAAAATATATACTAAGTTCACCTTTGAATAGATGAAAACAAAGAGAATATCAACATGGTAGGAAATGTTTTACAATGCATGTCCTTTTGCATTGTCATTCTTCTAGGATGGCAAACATGAGCTTTATGATGTGGTTCAAAATAAGCCCAGAGTCAATGCGGGTGTTAGCGTTAAGGCTCTAAGAAGTATATGGGAACAAACTAGCAATATCCCGCAAAACACGCCTCCTGTTCTGTATTCTAAAAGTGTCCGGAAACTCGCGATCTCCAGCTCTATTGATAGGAACAGCCTGTCCCAGGTAACCAAGTCAGCTCTAGTAACCATGGCTAATTCTATGATGTAAAACCTTTTTACATATCTAGTGTTGAAATTCATTTATGTGTTGTATAAATCATTAGGGTACGAAAGCTCCACCATTGCCAAAGAAGAATACACCACTTCGGAATTCCTTAAGCGCCGGGTTTCCTGGTACAAATCCATTACAAGAACAACACAGCTTTTCAGAATCATGGACATCTGGAATGTCAGGTGGTGATGAGAGCGCAAACGGCAAAAAAAGCGATACCTTCGACACAGAAGGCTACAACTTGCCTATCCACGATGAAAACAGTCAGTCTTTAACCTCTAATTCTTGTAACATTATGCCCTCCATCCCTCAACAAGCTCTTTTAGCTCCACCCAAAACAGCCACCTGCTCTTATGCTGTCCTTGATCTTAAAAAACGCAATAGTGGAGCTTGCCAAGTGCCCTATACTGACCAAGAAGCCCTACAGCCCAACCCACTCTACCAGACCTCATCTGTGGTGTGTGCTGGACAGAAGGACCAGCCCGGGCAAGAATATGACAACCATATAAAGCCCATTGACAACATCCTTTTAGCAGAAAACCCCTATCAAGACATACCTGAACAACGTGACAGTAATACCTATGAAGACATAGCTGAGAGCAACACCTATGAGGACATCCGAGTGACAGATAGCAACACGTATGCGAGTTTGGATGAGATGCAACCACACACACCAAGCATCTTGGGGAAGAAGGTGAGACCTGATATACTAACAAACAAATATACATCATTTTTGTACTGATTATTTTCTATGAAAATTAAAGAACTGTTATCATTTACAGAATCATAAGTGGTGGAAACTTCGACTGGAGAATAAGAAGTAATAGTCATCGGGTGAATGCAAAAGCTGAGAAAAATATTTCATTTAAAGTAATCATTTGGTGTGTAAAGTATACATATAACCTCAGTATACAGTATGGTTTCTACACTTATAAAATGCTGAACATTTTTAAACAAATACAATGGTAAAATGAAATGGTTATGATAAAACACCTGCTCTGATTATATCTATTGTTATGACTGAATTGCCCACTATTTCCCCAGGATTTTATCTTTCAATGTAGACTAGACCTGCGTAATTTAGTATTTTGTAATTAGTATAGTGCTCACAGCCTATCAATGCTTTCTGTAACCCTAATCCAGCAATCCACACTGTTTCTATGATACAATAGTCTCTCTCTACACATATGAAACCATAACACTGCACAGCATAACTGAATAAAGAATGGGGATAGCATAAAATAAGTGCTCTGTACGAGATTAGTATTGAGTAGATTGACTGCATTGCGCTTTCTATCTCCTTTAAAGTGATGTGCTCCCCTATTTTATATTTATATTGAATAAAATGTAGAAAAAAAAGTTTAGAATATAGACCTTCTGTCATTTTGCCCACCACTATAGTACTACGTCATCCATTGCAATTTCGGATAATAGCTGACTTAATGGATGGTGATATAATCACATCTCTGAGCCACTGAGACATTTCCAAATGGTTTGGACTCTAAATATTGATCCACTTACAACCTCATGAAGGACTGGTCAACTTTTGAAGGTTTCATAACATCCTTATGCTATATAATAAACTGTGCTTGCATTTTTTTAGCCACCAAGCTTGAAAATCAGTCTGGCAGCTTAAAACAATCTTTCAGGGGCTTCACTGTATTAGATTTATGAAAAGCTTATGATTCGTGATAATTATGCTTATACTATAAATTGTACAGCACTCACATGAGATCATGTTCTCAAAGTGAAGAAGTGAGAGCTTTCCATCTCCATTCAAGCTTACTTTATTACCTTTTGGGCAACCAGTCTCCTCTTTATTTCACTGAGGAGAACATGTAGACAGGTCATTCAAGATGAACAAAATTTTTTTTCCCTCATGACTGTTTAAGCCAAACAACCCTTTATCAACAGATGAGTTATACGTGGTCCATTTGTGTAGAGGTACCACGTTGGGGGCCAGCATACGAAATTGACCATTAATTCAAAAACAGATGAAATCTCAGCCTAAAATATACCTGTGAGAATGGCAACATGTATTCGTTAAATAAAATATTAGGTTCACATGAATCAGTTCTTCTAGTAAAAAAGCAGAATCCTGTAGAAAGACGATCACTACAGAAAATAGCAAGTGGTCACACACACCAACCTCAGTTTCTTTACCAGTGAAACAAACTATGTTTGTTTGTCTTCTGGCATCAGGCCAGATGTTCTAATCTGCTGTACTATCTTACATTTCAAGGCAGATTAAATGCAAACACGTTGAAAACACTGACGCAATAGGAGATTTACTTATCAGTCCCTTTGCGGCTCCAGAGCAGACATTCTGAGAACTGTACGGTGGTGATGAAGTTTCAGTCTCCTCCAGCAGGCGGGGACATTTACAAACAAAATGCATTATCTCCACCACAGTTAAATGTTTCCAGATTGCTTAAAAAGCAAAAATGGCATAAGGAGAAATCAAATAGGCCAAAGGGAAATTTGGTATGAACAACAGGGTTGTCCCTAAAGTGATAATCATATAATGTATAATTCAGAAACCTGACATAGATGTGGGTATTAATATGACAAAGGGAAATAACACCGCATCAGGAATCATTTGGATCAAAAAGTCCGGTATTCCCCAGATGTATGTGAAAGTAACAGAGTGTGTCTCAATACTGTAACAAATTGACGCTGCATCGTTTCATTCATTGCTCCTCCGTTCTACAGCCCGTGACCCGGACACGCATCTGAAGGCGTTCACGCCATATCGGAATTCCCGTAATTACGAGATTCCAACTTGTAAAAAGCTTTCACGTCCTCGTACAACTCGGAATTACAATTTGTGAATGTGAGCTGGGAGTTTTCTGAGAGCTACGACTTGTACCACCTGACCCCCGCAGGCTGTTTAGGCGGTGATAGTATGGCAAGCCGTTTTAGCTTAAATTGTTCCCAGCCTTACTCGTCGTAATTGCATTTTTACTAGTAACAATTCAATTAGAGAGCTCTACAATTAAATTCTTACTAGTAACAATGCCAATTAGAGAGCTCTCTAAATCAATTCTTACTAGTAACAATTATAATTAGAGAGCTCTCTAATTCAGTTATTACTAGTAAGAATTCCAATTTCAGAGCTCTCTAATTCAATTCTTACTAGTAACAATTCCAATTAAAGAGCTCTACAAATCAATTTTTACTAGTCATATGTCTCCATTGACTTCCATTCATTTATAATTACAGAGCTCTACCTCAGACTTTTTACTAGTAAGAATTCCAATTAGAGAGCTCTACAACTGAATTCTTACTAGTAACAATTCCAATTA